GGCCCCTTCTGCCGCTGCTTGGGCCCCAGAACCCCTGCACCCCGGGAGGCAAGCAGGGGCACGCTCTGCCCGGTCAGTGTTTTGGGGGTTGTCGTGGCTTAGCCCCCACCGGCAGCCAAGCCCCGCACAGCCGCTCGCTCGCCCTCCCCTTCCCGCTGGGATGGGGGGAGAATCGGAAGGGCGAAAGTGAGAAAACTGGCGGGTTAGGATAAGAACGGCTTAATAATTGATATAAAATACAATAATAAATTGTAGTGCAAAGGAAAACAACAATGAACAAAACCCAGGAGAAACAAGGGATGCAACTGCTCACCACCCGCTGACCGATGCCCAGTTCATCCCCTAGCAGCGGTTGCTCCCCCCAGTTTCTCTACTGGGCATGAGGCCCTGTGGTCTGGAATAGCCCTGGGGCCAGTTGGGGTGGGCTGTCCTGGCTGTGCCCCCTCCCAGCGACTTGTGCAGAGCAGGGGAAGCTGCGCAGTCCTTGACCACTGTAAGCCCTGCTCAGCACCAACTGAGCCATCAGCGAGTTACCAGCATTATTCTGGCCCTAAATCCAAACCACAGCCCTACACCAGCTATTGGGAAGCAAATCAACCCTATCCCAGCCAAAACCAGGTCACGGTTTTGGGGTAAAAGCTAGTCTGACCTTGTCCTTCCACCGTGTGTTGGAGCAGCAGGACTGGAAGGGACAGCCCCGTCCTCGCTCCTGCCGTGGATTTGCAGCCTCCCCTGTCCTTGCGCGGGCACTGGGATTTGTGCAGCCGCAGGGAGCCTGCTCAGCCATCTGGCCTGGCTAATGCTAGCCAAATGTGGCCATGCAGAGCCACAGCTGCGGATGTTTGGGGTGGGGAAATAAACTTACAGCTGCCTACACCTGTGGCAAATGGGTTGTAGGGGCCCAGCTGTGGCAGGACTAAGTCACTGCCTGCAGTCTTTGAATTAAATACCAAAGCAATCCTCCAGAGGTGGAACATGTAAAATTAGGATCCTTTCATAGCTTCCAAAATGTCCTCTGGGAAGGTGAGAGGGGCTGAGGCAAGCTGGGTGTGCTGAGAAGCTGCTTTGGCCCTGGGCAATGCTGATTCAGCCCAGGGACTGCTCTCAGAGAGCTGTGCTGTGCCCCGGGAAAAGAGTTTTCTTTTTCCCCTTTCTCATTTCAGCTTATTTTTTACCTGTTTAAAGAGTCCCCGAAGCAATTCCTCATCTCCTCTGTAGAAGCTTGAAAGCCTGGGGGGTCCGATTACAACTTCTGGGCCACTTCAGCTCCGCTCCCCGCTTCCACAGCCCCTGCAAAGCATGTGTGGAGGCTCTTTGATTTGGTTTTGCTGTGTGCAGTGAAAGAGCACCATAGGCAGAACAGGGAGCTCTGCCCCTGCCTGTTGTCCATCCATCCATCCTTTCTTCAGGGCAGCTCAGGCTGTGAGTGTTACAGCCAGGGCAGCACAGAACTGTGTGGCAGAGGGCTCTGATATATCTGAGCAGGGCACAGCTCGCAGGTGGGCTCAATCTCCTCGTTACCAGAGGAATGAATCTTAAAGCAAAACTACATTCCAGCAGCCTCTACCTTTTGTAGGGAAGGTGGGGAAACGCGCTTGTAAGTAATGTGATGTTTCTTCCCTCCCTTCGTGCTGTTAGTTCACTCGGAGCTGCGGCTCGCCGCCCAGCGCTCTCAGCCGTGTCCCTTCACCGGGATCCGTCGGTTCTGTCTGCCTTCGCTATTGCCCTCCCCATCTGCACCCAGGCCTGGCAGCCCCAGCGCACCTTGTTCCCCTCCACAGCCCCGGTGCTGCGTTCCCTGTGGGGCTCTGCCACGCGCCGTGCCATGAGGATGCTTTATTCCTCTCTGAGCGCGTTTGATCGTTGTGATTTTCTGTTGCTTCCTTCGTGCCACCAGGCGCAGGCAGCCATGGCAGGAGCTATGGTGCGCATTGGGGACCAGCTTATCCTGGAAGAAGATTACGATGAGACGTACATTCCCAGCGAGCAAGGTAACCGATGCCTGTCCTCCCAGGAGCCGTGATAAGGGATTCGAGCATGCAAGTCAGTTCTAGGCGTATTAAGAAACCGGGAATCGGGGAGAGCGTGGGTGGAGAGGGTAGAATGAATGGGATTTCGTAGAAGGCAGAGCTGAGAAATTGGCCTTTTGGTCGCAAAGATAAATGCCATTTTTCAGTCTGTCTCCCCGCCTCAGCAGCCTGGCAGGACGTGCTCGCTGACACAAGGCCGCGTTGGCAGCTTTGAGCAGCTTCGTTGCGGGATCAGGAATTCCCAGCGTGCCCATTGCCTTAGCCGAGGAGGCTGGCTTTGTCGTGTGGTGCCTGGTATCGACCGTCCCCACAGGGTCCTTTTCCCATTTCCTAGAAATCCAGGATTTTGCACGGGAGATCGGGATCGACCCCAAGAAGGAGCCGGAGCTGCTGTGGCTGGCCAGGGAAGGCATCGTGGCCCCGTTGCCGCCCGAGTGGAAGCCCTGGTGAGAGCTCTGCCAGCAGGCGTCCCGTGAGACTCCTGCCCTCCCCTGGCCCTTCCCCTGCTGCCTGCTGCCCACGTAGGTGGCCGAGCAGGGTACCGGCCGGCGAGGGGGGAATGCCACAGCAGACGCGCTTTCTCTGGCTGGGGAAGTACCGTTTTCCCTTTTCCTGCTGTTTTTGCCGTGCAGCCAGGATATCACTGGTGACATCTACTACTTCAACTTCGCTAACGGCCAGTCCACGTGGGACCACCCCTGCGACGATCACTACAGAGAGCGTGTCGTTCAAGAGAGAGAGAAGCTGCTGGCGTGTGGCAGCTTGAAAAAGAAAGAGAAGAAGAAGAAGAAAGAAAAGAAAGAGAAGAAAGAGAAGAAGGAGAAGCAGTCGCTGAAGCGACCCACCGTGAGTAGGCTCTGCTGCTTGCGGTGCTTCTGGGGAGAGGGCTGGGGGGAGGATGAACGGGTGCCTGTGAATTAGAGGGTGATCCTGTGCTGTTGCTGCTTTGGGAGCGGAACAGCAGCCCCCCGACAAGGGATCCTGTCCAGCAGGGCTGGGTTACAAACCCACAGAAGTTGGCACGTTTTGGTTTAGAAGGACACAGCCGGAGTGGGGGTGCCACAGCCCTGTGATGCTGTCGCTGAGAAGGATCTGGCACCAGCCAAGGATGCTGGGGCTGTTCTTAGCAGCAGGTATTTGGAGCGCTGGGAAGATTTCCTTCCTTGCAGAGGACAACCAGTGGCGTTCATGCAGTGTCTGCGTGTGTTGCTATGCTATACAGGCAGGGAACACGGGTTCGGATGTGTGAGGTTTCTCTCCTTTGCCGTTGGTATCTGCAAGCGTAACCTTTATATCTCAAGAGATAGCAAATCGTCCCTACCTTCCATTTGCCAGTAATGAGATAAATCCCCAAGGGGAAAGATGGTGCCTTGCGTTGTTGCTCAAGGCACAGAGCTCTTTGAGTCAGAAAGCCTCAAGCCTTCCATTTGAGCGTTTTATCTATATACAAGTAATTTCAAACATTCAAAAATGTCCACACCTATTTATAAATTGTGTATTAAATAAGTATATATCTCTACTTTAGACAGATAAGGGTATATACAGTGGTACAGTTTAGTTATTTGCTAATATCTATCTACTTAGGAAATGCAGCCAGGGATTCTTCCTTCAACACCCTTTTGGCACATGCCCTCTGCCGTTCCGCCCCCTGGGCAGGCGAGCCCCGAGCCAGATGCAGATAGCCAGATTAGAGAC